GGATGCGGACTATCCGAACTTCCAGATGTTTCTGTGGGATCCAGCACGAGGCCCGAAATATATCCCATTATGCAAAGCAGCCGCCGTTGTCAGGACTGAATACAGCCGCTCCTTTTACTGGCCTACATGTTACATAAGTCACTGTTGTCTGGCCACGTTAACACCACGCGGATGCATTTTCAGCACGTGTGCTTTAGACCCGTTTTACACGCAGCGTCAAGGACGCCAGAAAAAAAGGGGAAACTGCTACAAAACAGAGCCCTTAATGCCCAGCCAATGTGTGAACATGATCAGAGTATAACATCCATCCATCTTGACAAGTACAAACATTGGGCCTGCGCTGGAGAATGCTGCAACATGTACACGATGGGCTCCTAGTGGAGGATTGTGGCCCTGGAGGAGTGGAGCCGTGCGCTGACTGTAATAACATCTTAGCACGTGACGTTTTTACAAAACAGCAGCAGTAATGGAGTTTGTATAGAGGACACGTCGTGTGCATGTGAGGGAGGTGAGGCGTGGGCAGCACACAGACACGGCAAGAGCAATGTCCAGGCATGCAAGAGGCTCCGCATACACGGCAACAGGGAAATCACACTCACATGGGGGGGGGACTGGGGGTTGGAGAAGCAGCACAGTCAGCACCAGAAGGAAAAAGCATAACATGCTGCAAGCATAAAGAACGCAATAAAGTATTACATATCCCAATGAGAGAGGAGAGCACTGCAAGGAGGGACTGCTCAGGGCTGAGATCCTACATGAAACTGCAGAGAGCACAAAGCAAACATGGCAAGGAGACAGCTCAGTGAGGCACAGCAGGCAGAGACCGTTTAGGGAGACAGCAGCAAGGGGGGGGGAGACAGCAGCAAGGGGGTACAGCAGGCAGAGACCATTTAGGGAGACAGCAGCAAGAGGGTACAGCAGGCAGAGACCATTTAGGGAGACAGCTGCATGGGGGTACAGCAGGCAGAGACCGGTTAGGGAGACAGCTGCATGGGGGGTACAGCAGGCAGAGACCGGTTAGGGAGACAGCTGCATGGGGGGTACAGCAGGCAGAGACCGGTTAGGGAGACAGCAGCAAGGGGGGGGGACAGCAGGCAGAGACCGGTTAGGGAGACAGCTGCATGGGGGGACAGCAGGCAGAGACCGGTTAGGGAGACAGCAGCAAGGGGGGGGGGGGACAGCAGGCAGAGACCGTTTAGGGAGACAGCTGCATGGGGGGACAGCAGGCAGAGACCGTTTAGGGAGACAGCAGGCAGAGACCGTTTAGGGAGACAGCAGCAAGGGGGAGACAGCAGGCAGAGACCGTTTAGGGAGACAGCAGGCAGAGACCGTTTAGGGAGACAGCAGGCAGAGACCGTTTAGGGAGACAGCAGGCAGAGACCGTTTAGGGAGACAGCAGGCAGAGACCGTTTAGGGAGACAGCAGGCAGAGACCGTTTAGGGAGACAGCGGGCAGAGACCGTTTAGGGAGACAGCGGGCAGAGACCGTTTAGGGAGACAGCGGGCAGAGACCGTTTAGGGAGACAGCAGGCAGAGACCGTTTAGGGAGACAGCAGGCAGAGACCGTTTAGGGAGACAGCAGGCAGAGACCGTTTAGGGAGACAGCAGGCAGAGACCGTTTAGGGAGACAGCAGGCAGAGACCGTTTAGGGAGACAGCAGGCAGAGACCGTTTAGGGAGACAGCAGGCAGAGACCGTTTAGGGAGACAGCAGGCAGAGACCGTTTAGGGAGACAGCAGGCAGAGACCGTTTAGGGAGACAGCAGCAAGGGGGTACAGTAGGCAGAGACCGGTTAGGGAGACAACAGGGGTGGGGGGCATAACAGACTGCTCAGTGAGATAGCAATGAAGGGGGGGGGACATCAGATAGACTGCTCAGTGAGACAGTAGAAAAGGAAGCACAGCAGATAGGGTGCTCAGTGAGGGGGGGCACAGCAAGCAGAAATTTCCGAAGTGAAGCAACATAGGGGGCAGAGATGTTTCAGTGTGACAGCAAAAGGGTGTACAACATGCAAAGACTGCTCAGTGAAACAGTAAAGGGAAAGCAGAGAGATTACTCGGTGAGACAGCAGAGGGGAGAGACACCTCAGTAAAACAGCCTTGGGAGTGCACAACAGACTTCCCAATGAAATAGCAAAAAAGGGGATGCACAACAGAGTGCTCAGTGACACCGCAGAAGAAAAAGGCACATCAGGCAGAGACTGCTCAGTGAAACAGCCTAGGGGGTTCACAGCAGACTGCTCAGTGAAATAGCAAAGGGGTTGCACAGCATATTGCGCTCAGTGAGACAACAGAAGGGATGCACAACAGAGTGCTCAGACAGCAGAGGGGATGTACAGCAGACAGAAGGGTGCTCAGTAAGACAGCAGAGAGGATGCACAGTAGAGTGCTCAGTGAGACAGAAGAGGGGATGCACAGTAGAGTGCTCAGTGAGACAGAAGAGGGGATGCACAGTAGAGTGCTCAGTGAGACAGAAGAGGGGATGCACAGTAGAGTGCTCAGTGAGACAGAAGAGGGGTTGCACAGTAGAGTGCTCAGTGAGACAGAAGAGGGGATGCACAGTAGAGAGCTCAGTGAGGCAGCAGAGAGGATGCACAGCAGGAAGAGACTGATCAATGAAACAGCAGAGGGGATGCACAGAAGAGTCAGAGTATTCTATGAGACAGCAGAGGGGAAGCACAACAGAGAATGCCCAATAAGACAGCAGATGAGATGCACAGCAGACAGATAATACTTTGTCTGTTATGCATTTCCTCTGCTGTCTGAGTATTTAGACAGCAGAGGGGATGCACAGCAGAGAGTGCTCAGTAAGACAGCAGAGGAGATGCACAACAGATAATGCTCAGTGAGACAGCAGAGGAGATGCACAACAGATAATGCTCAGTGAGACAGCAGAAGGGATGCACAACAGAGAGCTCAGTAAGACAGCAGAGGGGATGCAGAGCAGGCAGAGACTGCTCAGTGAGACAGCAAAGGGGATGCACAGCAGGCAGAGACTGCTCAGTGAGACAGCAAAGGGGATGCACAGCAGGCAGAGACTGCTCGGTGAGACAGCAGAAAGGATGCACAGCAGAGAGCTCAGTGAGACAGCAGAGGGGATGCAGAGCAGAGAGTGCTCAGTGAGACAGCAGAGGGGATGCAGAGCAGAGAGTGCTCAGTGAGACAGCAGAGGGGATGCAGAGCAGAGAGTGCTCAGTGAGACAGCAGAGGGGATGCAGAGCAGAGAGTGCTCAGTGAAACAGCAGAGGGGATGCAGAGCAGAGTGCGCTCAGTGAGACAGCAGAGGGGATGCAGAGCAGAGAGTGCTCAGTGAGACAGCAGAGGGGATGCACAGCAGGAAGAGACTGCTCGGTGAGACAGCAGAGGGGATGCACAGCAGGAAGAGACTGCTCGGTGAGACAGCAGAGGGGATGCACAGCAGGAAGAGACTGCTCAGTGAGACAGCAGAGGGGATGCACAGCAGGAAGAGACTGCTCAGTGAGACAGCAGAGGGGATGCACAGCAGGCAGATCACACAAGGAGACAGTAAAGATGATGTATAGCTGGCAGAAAACTTCATTGAGACAGCAGAGGGGAGGCACAGCATGCAGGGTACTCCCTGAGACAGCAGAGCAATCCAGAAATAGCAGCACATGAGAACAAGCTAGGATTAGAGAGCACCAAGACGGCACAACGCTCCGAGAGTGCACAATCACAGGCAAGGCTAGAGAGCGCACAGCGAGGCAATCTCCTAAATCTAACTCCCGTGAAATCAGAATAAAACAGCGACCGCAGCAGCAAACAATGGTTATATGAATCAAATTTATTACAATGTAATCAGCTCCAAGGCACATAACAGTGGTCTGTTATACTACAGAAATGTGTTCTGGACAAAGAAAGAAGGTTCTGCCCACCCTAAATGTACAGACGGCAATTTGCTCTACAGTTTAAAAGCATTCGTGCAAAAAGAAAAAAAAAATATATATATATAATTTTCATATATAAAGAAATATGTAACCCTCTACTGGCCCAGAGACAGCATTGTACTGCCAGCGCTCATGGGTTAAACCAATTATAATTGCATTGTGTAGACCTGCAGAAACCTGCAAACTGATAATTACACTGGATTATACACCCTCCAAGTATCAGAGTAAAGGAGGGGTGGGGGGGGAATACAACATTGTCTTATGTGTCACACCCACCTCAAAGGAACAGGGGGATATGGGCATATATATCAGTTTTATTTTATTTTATTTTTTTTTTACAGATTTAATAGTTTCACTGTCCACCCCTCCTCCCTCCCCCCCCCCCTCGAGAGAAGTGCGTACATTACAAAAATGACACACCAGCAGCATCGCTAAGTGCTAGAAACCATTACCTAGTGGACACACTTGCAACAAACGTTGTTAAAAAAAAAAAAAAAAAAATTTAAAAGTAAAAAGGGGGATATAAGGAGCGATAATAATCCCAACAACACCCAAACATGAGCTCTGTCACCCTTCAAATGAAGTGTACATAACAAGTGTCTCAAATTGCTGAAACACCACAAAAATAAGATCTGTACATAAGACTAAGTTTCTGCGACGTTCCCGCTGGCCAGGAGCCGCCAAAAAAAAGCTTTATACAGCCTCCGTCCTGCCTTGCCAAAGGGGAATCCCACTGTTTGCTGTCCTGCAAGGTCCGCTCCACCGGCAGGCAGATTTTTTTTTTTTTTTTTTAATTTTTTAATTTTGTTTTTATATAACAAAAACTCCGCCATGTTATTCCCAAAAAAAAAAAAAAAAAGATGAAGAGTACAAAGTGTGTGTTTCTCAAAACACCAGAACTCCCCCCCTCCCTCCCAAAAAAAAAAAAAAAGCTTGAATCACATGTCTGGGGGAATGGGGGGGCATTTCTGGGCTGAATTTGATGTAAAATGTTTGGTGTCCAGGATCCACATCACCACACCCCGGAGCCTGTCCTTGGTCTGCAAGTTATAGATGAGGAGCTGGATAAAGGTTTATGTACAATAACATCCACTCTTACTAAGGGTCTCTCTCCTTTTTCACCTTAACATCCCCGGCAAGAATGGTAGCAATCTCCCCCTGCATGAAAGCCCAAGGTACATTAGATCCAACCAGGGGGCACTTCTCTCCACTGGGGCAGTAGACCTCACCCGTTGCTCCCTGGGCCTTGATGCTCTCTCTGGAGCATGGGAAGCAGAATTTGTGGCTGGGTACGGATGGGCACTGGACAAAGTGCGTGTCCTCTAGGCGCTCATGGCAGATGGTGCAGCACAGGGGGCCGCTGTTGGCCATGGGCGAGTCGGGAATGTTCTGGGGGTGCACTTGGTCCATTCCTGGATGAGGGGCTCCCCCAGCAGGTGCCACCTGAAGGCTGAGTTCTGCTGAACCCCCTCCGTTACGGGAATTCAGACGTCTCTGGCCAGGTACTGACGCTGGCGACACCGGGCTGCTGCTATTCCGCCGTGCCGATGAGGTGGTGGAGTGCACCGGGGGTCCCCCACCTGTCTGTCCGTCTTTAGGGGAATGAGCAGTGCCCAAAGTGTCTGTGACAGACTGCAGTGCCGCCATAGGCGATGGCCCATTTGGAGGGGCGCTCTCAGGTGGGGTGGTTCGCTGCGGGTGACCAGGGCCGAGAGGTGGCGGCGGCGGCGGTGGTGGAGCGGGGCCGCCGTAGGAACCTGCGGAGGAGGAGGATGGAGTTCCCCCTGCAGCTGCTAAACTCAACTGTTTGATACCATCCGGTTGCCCCGTGATCCACATCTGTCCCTCAGCAGAATCTGGTTCAGGTGAGGCCTTGCGTTTCCTCACCCCTGAGCGGGCCTGGCCGCTTCCCCCAGCCGAGGAGGACGCGGCGGCGGCAGCTGCAGCCAGGGCTCGAGGCAGGTTCACCAAGGCGCTGGGCAGCATGGGGCAGCCAGGATCCAGGTAGGGCTGTGGTAACATATCTGCAACGACCATCTCCTTAAAGAAACGTACTGACTCTGGAAGAAGGTCACCCAGCAGACGCCAGTCCCCAGAGCCATGTTTGCGTTCATACTCCAAATACTTAAAGCCCGAGGACAGACCGCGGCCAAAGTCCTTCATACAGTCCTGGTACATCTGCTTGGCCACACCGGAGGCTGAGCTGAACACGTTGAGGGAGCCGCTGGGGTATTCCACAAACAATTTGAGCTCGTAGTCCAGAAGACCTGGTTTGGATGTGGCGTCAAAGGCGAACACTCGCCCCAGCAGTGCGTGGTCTTTTTTGAAGCGGACATCAAAGGGTGTGCATGCTGACAGGGTGAGCAGGGTGTCCCGCACTGCCTTGGGCTTCCCTACCCATTCCTCGGCCCGGGAACGCAGGCTCTCCGTTAGTTCAGAGAGAGCTTCGCTGTTCCGCTGCTTCTCCTTCAGCTCTCGCTCCTGGTCGGTGCTGGACACGGATCCCGGGCGCTTAGGGTCACCCGAAGAGCTGGCTGAAGGGGGCACGGTGGCACGCTGAGGCCGCTGGAGCCGGCAGGGCCCCTTCCAAGCACATGCGGGGCCCCAGACGAAGAGGCTGTAGGAGGGCCATTCAGCAAAGTCTGGGGGAGCAGGTTTGGTGGGACACTCAGCTGTCCAGGTCCCAGCTGGGGAATTAGTCCATGGCCCGTACGGCCCCGGGAATTGGGGCTCTGGCGGTTCAGTTCTGGGGGGCCGTCCTCGCCAGGCTTGGGGAACCCATTAAGGCCGTTGGGAAGACGCGCCGCAGCGGCCAACGTGTATTCGAAGCGGCCGCGGTCAGTCAGTCCATACCTCTCTAGTCCAGAAGCCGCGGCCACCTTGGACGCCCCGTCCAGGTGATTGAGCTGCGCCGTGTCCTTGGCGGTCAGGGCTGCTTGCACGGCTGGGTGCTGTTTGGCTGCCCCACCAGAGCCGGGCCCCTGTGGCCCCGGAGAGCGCCCATCCTGGAAGCCATGGCTACGTTTGAGCTGGCGCGCGGTGTCGATGACGAACTCTATACGGTCAGCGCCTTCGTAGTTGACGCAGCCACGACAGACAGGCTCGGTGAAGTCCCAGATCATGGCCCATGGCATTCGTGGCAGGTCACACAGGTAACACGACTGGCGGCGTGACGAGGACACCTGTGCCGCTGACATGCTGCGCGGGGGAAGGGACTCACTCACTGGCAGGGGGTCATGCAGCAGTTCCGCCTCCTTACGGCTCTGTGGACAGTGCTGTGCTCCGGTCCGTACCGGGCGTGCTCTGCTTCTCTCTCTCTCTCCTCCGCTTCTCTGCAAGCCGCAGCCCGCCTGGAGCGCGCAATGCCGGGGCCGCGCAGGGCTGGGATTCCGCGCGTGCGTACTGCGCCGCGCCGCCTCCACCGCCAGCCGAGGAATGCCACCTGGCCGTGACGTCACGCAGCTTGTTGCGTTGCTGGAAATGAGAGGCGCGTGCGCGCTGAGCAGACCCCGCCCCGTCTGCGGCCCCTCGGCGCACGTGTGTGCTGGATGACACGTGACTTGTTGCAGCACATGGTTAGAGGGGGAGGGGGCATGCTGGGAGGTGTAGTACTACCATTGATTATTATTATAGGGAATGCTGGGAGATGTAGTCCCAACACAAGATACTATTATAAGGCATGCTGGGGGTGTAGTACTATCACATAATATTTATAGGGCATGCTGGGAGGTGTAGTTCCGGAAGATATAATTCTTAGGGCATGCTGGGAGGTGTAGTACCACTGTCAAAATTGTTTTAGCTCATGCTAGGTGTAGCACCACCAGATTTTATTATACGCCATGATGGGAGGTGTAGTAGCACTAGATATTATTGTATGGCATGCTGGGAGGTGTAGTACCACCAAATGTTATTATAGGCCATGCTGGGAGGTGTAGTACCACCACTAGATATTATAGGGCATGCTGGGAGGTATAGTACCACCACTAGATATTATTGTATGGCATGCGGGGAGGTGTAGTACCACCACTAGATATTATTGTATGGCATGCTGGGAGGTATAGTACCACCACTAGATATTATTGTATGGCATGCGGGGAGGTGTAGTAGCACCACTAGATATTATAGAGCATGCTGGGAGGTGTAGTACCACCAAATTTTATTATACGCCATGCTGGGAGGTGTAGTACCACCACTAGATATTATAGGGCATGCTGGGAGGTGAAGTACCACCACTAGATATTATTGTAGGGCATACTGGGAGGTGTAGTACCACCATCAAGCATTGTTTTAGAGCATGTTGGGAGGTGTAGTACTATAATACTATCAGCTGTTATTATAGGGCATGCTTGGAGGTGTAGTGCCACCATCAGAAATTAATATAGGGCATGCTGGGAGGTGTAGTACCATCATCTGTTAACATTAGGCATGTTGGAAGGTGTAGTACTACCTCTAGATAATATAGGGTATGCTTGGAGGTGTAGTAATACCATTTGATATTTAAGTAGGGCATGCTGGGAGGTGTAGTACCACTATTTGATATTTAAGTAGGACATGCTGGGAGGTGTAGTACCACCATTTGATATTTAAGTAGGGCATGCTGGGAGGTGTAGTACCACCAGACATTGTTATAAAAAACATGTTGGGATCTGTGGTGAAGCATGCTTGGAGTTGTAGTTCCTTCATCAGCCTGTTGTTAATAGGGTACTCCAGTAGTTGTGGTTTCTCCATCACATCATTATTATAGGGCATATTGGGAGATGTAGTCTTACTACCAGAGCATTATAGACATGCTGGGAGTTGTGGTTCCTCCCACACACCACTGTTAAAGGACATGCTGGGTGCCCCTTATATGGTGACGGGTCACTCCTATCCTGGTATTTGTTACCTCCTGGCCATGGTGAAACAATCTACCATGTGTTGCCCTGCCCTTGGCATGTTGTGTGGTACATGTGTCTACACACATGTTTATTCTGTTTATTTACATGTAATCAGGACGGCTGTACTCACAAGTCTCTTCCTGCTGTGACGTTGACGTGACTAATTTCTTAATCATGACCGGGGTGTAAAGTGCAGGTTGGCACTGTGAAGAAGGGGGGGAGGGGAAAGGTTTGGCATAGCACATGGTTGAGGGAGACGGGTACTCCTGTATGGGCCCCGGGTGTGGTGACGGGGAATGTTCCCGGGCGTGGTGATGGAGAACCAGGGTGAGATAAACACACACACCCATTCTATTCACGTTGTTTTGTTCCATTTTGTTTTAAGTTGGGCAAATGTCCAGCAGAGGATTCTGGGAGTCCAAGCATTGCTCAGTCTGGCACTTGGCCAGACCCCTCCCGATGGATGCCTTTCTGTGTTGCTATGGAGACCCTGAGATGAGCGCAAAACTGACTCCACCCCAGGAAACACACTTAACCCCTTCCAAGGACCAGCATGACAGAGCGAGCATGTCCGCCGCAGTCATTCCAGGCTGACAACATCGGTGTAAAAAAGCACAACCAAGGCGTTTTGTAGATGTGTAGGGTAACCGGACAGGGACGGCTCTGCTCGACATGTACATTATCAATAGGAGACTGAACTCTGCTTTCCAGAGGTTAAATTATAACTTCAATATGGGAGGATCAGCAGTACTACAAAGTGTAAAACAGGAGATCAGATTATAGCCAAGCGCAGAGTACAAGGGGCGGGGGACTGAGGGAAAGAGTATGTAACAAGAGACCAGTGAGATGTCAGGGAGGCTGAGGACAAGATGGAGGAGGGAAGAGGACAAGATGGAGGAGGCATGAGGACAACGTGAAGAGGGAAGAGGACAAGATGAAGAGGGAAAAGGAGAAAATGGAGGAGGGAAGTGGGCAAGATAGAGAAGGGAAGAGGACAAGATGGAGAAGGGAAGAGGGCAAGATAGAGAAAAGGACAAGATGGAGGAGGGAAGAGGGCAAGATGGAAGAGGAATGAGGACAAGATGCAGGAGGGAAGAGAACAGGAAGAATAGAACAAGATGGACAAGGGCATAGGACAAGATGAAGAGTGAAGAGGACAAGATGAAGAGGGAAGAGGACAAGAGAGAGGAGGGAAGTGGACAGGATGCAGGAGGGAAGAGGACAAGATAGAACAGAGATGAGTACAGGATGAGGGGTGGGGAGAGGGCAAGAGGAATAAGACAAGATGGATGAGGGATAGCAAAAGAAGGAAGAAGACATGATGGAGGAGTGAAGTGAACAAGATGGAAGAGGGATGGGGCAGTATGGAGGGGGAAAGAGGACAGGATTGAGGAAGAAAGCGGATAAGATGGAGGAGTGAAGTGAACAAGATGGAAGAGGGATGGGTCAGGATGGAGGAGGAAAGAAGATGAGATGGAGGGGTGAAGAGGACAAGCTGGGGGAGGGAAGTGGGCAAGATAGAGAGGTAAGAAGACAAGGTGGAAGAGGGATGAGGATGCAGGTGGAAAAAGTACAAAAAGGATAAGACAAGATGTATGAGGGTATAAGACAAAAAGGAGGAGGACAAAATGGATGAGTGAAGTGAACAAGATGCAAGAGGGATGGGATAGGATGGAAGGATGGAGGAGGATAAAGGACAAGATAGAGGAGGGATGAGGACAAGACTAATAAGGTTTAGATAGAGGAGGGAAGAGGACAAGATGGAGGAGTGAAGTGAACAAGATGGAAGAGGGATGGGACAAAATTGAGGAGGGAAGAGCACAAGATGGAGGAGTGAAGTGAACAAGATGGTATAGGTTTGGGACAGGGTGGAGGAGGAAAGAGGACAAGATGGAGGAGTGAAGTGGGCAAGATAGAGAAGGGAAGAGGACAAGATGGAAGAGTGATGAGGACAGGATGCAGGGGGGAAAGAGTACAAGAGGATAAGGGCATAGGACAAGAAGGAAGAGGAATAGATGGGGGAGTGACGTGAACAAGATGGAAGAGGGATGGGACGGGATGGAGAAGGAATGAGGACAAGATTAAGGAGTGATGAGGACAAGATGGAGGAGGGATTTGGACAAGATACAGATTTGAAGAGGATAAGATAATGGAGGGAAAAGGACAGGATGAAAGAGGGGTTAAAACAAGATAGAGGTGGGAAGAGGACAAGAGGGGTGAGGAAAAGACAGAGTTAAAATGAGAGACTAAAAGCAATATAGGTGAGGGAAGAGGACAAGATGGAACGGGTGAGGAGATACTGATGACAGTATTTGGGAGGGATAAGGAGACTGAGTACAAAAAAAAGCAGGGATAAGAGGACTCTGAGAACAACATGAAGGTGGACAAGAAAGACTGAGGACAACATAGAGGTTGGTTAAAAGGAGACTGAGGACAATATGGAAGAAGAATGAGGAACAACTGGGGACTGAAGACAACATGAAGGATGAGGAGAGGCTAAGGATAAAAAAGGAGGAAGGATGAGAACGGACTAAGGACAATATGGAAGAAGGATGAGAACATACTAAGGATAGCATGGAGGACACATAAGGGTGACTGAGGACATCATTAGAGGGACAAGGAGAAACTCAGGACATGGAAGAGGGTTGAGGAGAAACTATGGATGGCTCAGACGAGTGAATGAGGATTATATAGAGGACAGTTGAGAAGGGACCAAGGACAACATGGAGGAGGATGAGGATACACTGAGGACAACATGGAAGAGGGATGAGGATAAACTGAGCAGGAATAAGAAGAGACTGAAGACGACATGCAGGAACAATGAGGAGAGACTTATGACAGCATGGAGAATAGATGAGGAAAGACTGAGGACAGAATGGAGAAGTGATAAGGGGAGACTGAAGACAACATGGATAAGGGATGAGAGGAGAGTGAGGACAACATGTATAATGAATGAGGACAGTATGGAGGAAGGATAATGAGAGAGAACATAAAAAAGGGATGATGAGATACTGAGGGATAGAATGGAGGAGAAATAAGGGAGACTGTGGACACCATGAAGGAGGGATGAAGGTAAACTTTGGACGGCATAAATTCAGGATAAGGAGAGACTGAGAAGAACATGAAAGAGGGATGAGGAGACAATGAGGAAAACATGAAGATAGCTTAAAAAAAGGAGGACAACAAAGAGGGATGAGGAGGAACTGTGGATGGCTTGGAGGGATGGGTAAAGAATGAGGTCCTTC